ATTGGCTGAGAACGGTACAGATGTTGAAAATGTTACTGAACATACAGAATGCGTAGCAAGCGGACGAAAATCTAACGAAATGATAATTAGTCCCAATGTCACTGATGTGTCAGATAACGAACGAGCTACTACACATACGAAAACGAAATCCTCAAATTACAGCAAGAGTGCCTGGATTTTGTTTTGATCAGTTGTCAACTGATGGATACAAATGCAAAATATGTTTCAAAGTAAGTGGACACATTACATAATTCAAGCTTTTCAGAACTCAGGTTTAGAGGAGCATTGATTAGAACATTGATTACAGGAATAAACTATTCTTCTGAAGTGCGCAAATTTTGCTTTCTTAATAATCTTCTCAAAGAAATGGATTATGCTATACTCAAACAGACTTACTCTCTTTTACTATCTATTCTGCAGCTGAAAAGTCTATGAATATTGATTGAAGCCCATACCTGGAGCTGGAAATTTGCTTTTTATTTCACTGTCTCTACCTTTCACACTGCTACATTTTCTCATTTTCTAGGTGTATCAAACTGCAGGACGTTCTGACGCAAATTTGAGAAAACACATTGGCAGTCAACATTATTCACAATATCTTTATCCGTCTCAACGACATTCAAAGAAAACATCCATGATTCCGCCAGATCGGAAAAAAGAACTAGATGAAGCAGCTGTTTCGCGCATTATTGAAGATGGCCGTCCATCTGGAGACTTCAGACGGCCCAGTATGCGGAGTTTTCTCGACGTTGCGGTACCCGGTTATAAGCGACCACTCCGTCATACAGCTCGACGCCGTTTATCAACACTATACATCATCGTAAGCGAAGAGTAATAAGTTATAACTCATAACTCAGAAGACATTTAATGAAATTCAAAACTTTTTCTAAAATATCAAGGACCCTTCGAACACAGTATACCTAAACACCCAGAAATTATGACTAAAGGGGTGCTCTGCTGCGGTTTCGGTACTCGAACACTTCTTTTGTATGTCTTTGGTGGCTGGCCCAACCAGTCGAGACATTCTGACTAGCGCAGTTTGTAGAGAATTTGAAGGACTATCGAACAGTATACTATAAAGAAAGCTCTGATGTTCGGTATATGTGGAAAATATGACTAAAGGGGTGCTCTACTGGTGTTTGATAAAGATATGATAAAGATTGCTTGAACAAAAGATTTTCCATGTTTTTGTTTTCGTTTCGACAGAGAAACAGAATGGAAGAAATGCGAAACAGATGCCAGTAGATATATATCTGTACTCGCTACATGCGAACAGCACGCGACAGTTCTGTATCTTGCAGGATATTAACAGCACCAGTCAAGAACCGTATTTTCGTTATACTCGATCAATACATCATATTAAGTCGTTATTAAATGTTTCGCATGAATATACGCTCAGAGAAGATTCTTTGTTTCTTTTGAAAATAGAACTTCGTAGTTTGTAATGTGCTCAATTGTATAGCTGGGGGACTGTTTAAGGAACACTCTTAATGTAAAATTCTTCAATAGGATTGTATTGATTGTTCTTCACGCGACTGATTGCGTGGAGTGTCCTCTTCAAAATGAGAGTCAAGGGAGATCTTGATTTTCTTCGGGTCGGGCGGTGTATCGGACTTGCTGCGAGTCCCAGGACTGGCACCCGATGACTATGGGTAGCCTTGAGGATGGATGAACTACGGGTAATCGACCATGCTGAGCATTGTAATAGGACTTGTTTCTAGAAAAATTTTAAAAATTTGCCGTCTGTTTGTATATACTATCTCTGAGCTGTTCTTTTACAGAACAGGTCTTTAGTCAACCAGCGGTGAATGCAGATAAAGTCTCTCTGCCATTTTCAAGCTGATGAAACTTATGCACGCTTACTTTCGTTTAGAAAGATTTCCGACTGCCCGACAGATTCAAGTTTTTTTTGACAATGATTTTGTGTTTTTTAGGCTACATGTAATAATGGGATGTGGTTCTAGTAGATCTGGCAACAGAGTGAATCCGAATATTGACTTGATCAGCAGCTCGACTCATATACAGATCCCAACAACGATTCCATCGTCCGAAGATCCAGCTAAAAATAAAGAGGACGTATCGATCTTATGGTACGGTACGCCGTCGGACACTGCAAGAATAGCACTACAATCGACGAATAATTTTTTACAAGTTTTTAGAGAAAGAGATAATGGTGAATGCTGTATAACCTATATGAAAAAGATTGAAACAGAAAAAGTAGTTTTGATAATAAGCGCTTCGCACCTTACAAGGTATTTAATAGTGGAAGTAAAAGCTCTAAGGCATGTTGACTCGGTCTTTATATTAACTGATAGAAATGCTAACGAGATTACAGACTTCGATTCATATATTAACGATTGTCCGAAAATTAAAATATTTGCAAAACTACATGATATGATTAATTATACGAACCAATGTGTAAAATTAATGCTTAAACAAGCAGTAGAATTTAGTGTATTTGATCAAAAACAAAAATCAACACGTGATTTGACCCGTGATGCCGCCTCGTTCCTATGGTTTCAGGTTCTTCTGAGTGTTCTACAGCGTATGCCCAAAAGCGAATCATCAGAACACGATATGTTAGAATTTTGTAGACGTTATTACAAAATACGTAATAATCACAATGAATTGGGCAATATTGAATTATTTCGCACTCAGTGTACCAAACCGGAAGATGCTATTAACTGGTATACGAAAGAATGTTTTATCTATAAATTAATTAACAAGGCACTACGTACAGAAGACATTAATTCATTGATAATGTTTCGTAGTTTTCTGGTCGATCTGTGCGGACAGTTACAAAGTAAACATCTACGACGAATAGATTCAGGTGATACAAGTGTCATGGTATTGTATCGGGCTCAGCAAATATCAAAAACTGAAATTATAAAAATAAAAGGCAATATAAACAATTTGATATCGACGAATGGTTTTCTGTCGACAACACGAGATATCAAGTTAGCAAAACAATTTCTTTCAAGTAATAAATTACACAATCCGGACCTCGTTCCTCTATTGTTCGAAATTCAAGCACCGTCTAATCTGAACAAAGTTATATTTAGTGATATAAGCGATTTGAGCCAATTTCCCGAAGAACAAGAAGTTTTATTTAGTATTGGAGCAGTCTTTAAATTGGATGCGGTAGAGGACGTTTCGATAAATAAATATGTTCAGATAAAAATGACAGCAACCGATGAAGGTTCTGAAAACGTTGATACCTACATCGATTTAACCAGGAAAGATGCAGAAGAGACAGATATCACGGTATTGTTTGGTCGGTTACTAATTGATATGGGAAAATATCAAGAAGCAGAAAGATATTTTAAACAAATTTTAAGTAGTCGATCAAACGAAGATTATGACATGGCTGCTGTTTACCATAATTTAGGCCGTGCTCACGGCTATAAAGGAGAACTAAAAGAAGCTGAAAATAATTTTAGCGAAGCATATAATAGGCGGAAAAGAAATTTGCCCATTGATCATATTGATGTACTGCGTACTCAAAATAGTATTGGTGTGATATATGGTGAAAACGGAGAGTACGATAAAGCGCTGAAAAAGTTCACTGATGCGTTGAACAGTCAGAAAGAAATTTTGGCACGTGAAAATAATCAATCAACGACGCTTAATCTACACATTGCTATGAGTTATAGTAACATCGGATGGGTGAACTATCTGAAAGGTGAATATGTAAAAGCACATGAATCTCATAATGCTGCTTTAGAAATTCGGCGGACCCATCTGCCTGAAGATCATCCACTGTTCGCCGATAATTACAGTTCAGTTGGTGCCATCTATCATGCACAGGGCAAGTACAAAGAGGCACTTGAGTACCATAATCGTGCCCTACGTATACGCGAACAAAAACTGCCCAGTCATCACCCGTCCATAGCCAATAGCTATCAATCTATTGGTGGAGTGGAGCACGAAAATGGTAGGTATGAACGTGCACTTGACTTTTATAATCGTGCACTCAATATACGAATGCAAACATTGGCTTCTGATCATTCGTCTATGGCAAGTAATTTAAGATCTATTGGTGGTGTTTACCTTGATGAAGGAAATTACATGGAAGCCCTACAGCACTATCAACAAGCACTCTACATCTGTCAGAAGTCTTTCAAAGCCGATCATCCGTCAGTTGGCGATTGCTTACACAATATAGGCATGGTTAAAGAGCGACAAGGTGTGTTTCAAGATGCAATAAAGTATTACGCGGAAGCATTGGAGATAAGCTATAAATGTTTACCCAACGACCATCCGTCAACGGCAAAAATTCTAAGTTCACTTGCCAACGTTTATCTTCGACAAAGAAACTATGATATATCACTTCAGCATTATACACACGTGTACAGAATTCAGCAGTCGTCGTTAATTACAAACCAACATCCGGACATTGCATTAACACTAAATAATTTAGGGGTTTTGCATAGATACAAGGCAGACTACGGTAAAGCTGCCGATTATTTTACAAAAGCACTGCAAATGTGCGAAAAATGCTTTCCGGAAAACCATCCAGCCGTGTCTCGTACATTATCAAATATGGGTGATATGTACTTGGCTTCAGCAAAATATGACAAGGCATTAGAGTACTATAAACGAGCCGAATCAATCCGACTGGGTGCTTTATTAGCAGATGATCTGGGCATAGCTGATATTTATTATAATATGGGTTGCGTCTATTACAATAAAGAATCTTTCGTGGAAGCATTACCATACTTTATAAAATGCAAGCGAACTTACGAGAAAAAATACCACAGAGATCATGTAGATATCAGAAGAGTTGAAAATAGCATAATGCTCGTTAAAGCAGCTATGCAAGAAATCGGACATGCGCCATGATGATTTTTAATTGACGCATCGGCCGTTCAAGCGGTATTTTCAGTTACATTCACCGTTCTTAATTCGTCAAAAGAGATTTCTAAATCAGGTAACATTTTCCTTACTTGAATTCAATAATCTAATAGCGTTCCACGCAATGATACCTTAGACCATACGATTGGAAAGAACCTTCCTGTATTTTTACTACTTATTCTCCACAATAATTTGACTTTCTCTCCTAGTCCTTTTCCCCTAATCAATGAGACTAAAAAGTTCGAGAAAAAGCAATTGTTACAATATGAGATAGCCTCCCGCGGACCGCCTTATGTTATTTAGTGGATAAACTGATGAAGAAGGGTTCAGTTTACAGATGCGGCTGATCTCGGATATTATAAATACGATCAAGAGTTTTTTACGTAAAACACAGCAGGTATACCAAATAGGCGTGCTGCATGAGAAAACTATCTGATGATGTGCTGAATGAAATTTTATAATTTCTGATCCCTAGGCGACAATGCACGAGAAAAACGCCTGTTTGCCACAGAAACAGGCTGAATCAATTTTTCGGAATTGGCTGTAACCAGTCTCATCTTGTGGAGCATACTCGAATACCTATAAGTCCAAGTTCTTAGCTTGCTTGATCTTTTCGTTCTGTATGTACGAGAATTTTTTGCAAACGACATCGTTCCAGATATTATCCAAAACACATAAAATCGATATATCTCGAGAACGCAGAGATAGGATAAAAATTTTTTCAGCGTATATAGTACTCAATGTCTACTATATA